TCATGAGAAGGCATGACTCATTGGAAAAGACAATAATGCTAGGTGTAGAAAGAGAGAAGGAACATATGTTAGATGGATGGACTCTATTAAGGAGGTCATGAGCATGAATCTATAAGACCTCAGCAGAGCAGTGGAGAACAGGGGGTCTTGGAAATGTCTCATTCACAGGATCATCATGAGTTGAGGTCAACTCGAGGGTAGTAAAAACAACATGCTCAGTCAGTTGATCCATGGTGTGCCTGATGAGCATGCAAAATGATTTCCTGTTGATTTATTTGTTCTTGTAGGTCCAATGAGGAAGGTTTTGGTGTTTGCCAGAATACAGTTTCAAGTGGAGGTGTCCCATGGTTTTCCTAGTTCAGTGGTCTATTTGGTCCAGTGTGGCTCTGACATAATGCCATAGAAACTTGTCTAGCTGTGGGAAATCCTCCACTGTGTCTAAGAGTGTTGCATAACTCCAGGGCATCTGGGCCAAATGTTTTCAAAAAGGCAGTTTTCAGAAGTTTCCATTCTGATTGAAGATCTTCAGATAATCATTCTTATGAAGCAGTTGTGCTAGAGTGTTAACTCCCAGGTTTGTCCACATGTAGGATTACCCCACAGCATGCAATCTCTGTGTATCTCTAGATCAAAGCACACAGTCTGTGCAAATGCCATTAAAATGTTTATATACATTGAAATGCTTACCATTAAAATGTTTACATAGCATTTAAAAAGGGTATCTAACCTTTTAAAACCTATAGATGGTAGAATGCAGGGCCTAAGACTCATGCCAGTGTCTGCCTTTTTTCTACCTTGTAATAAAAAAAGAGAAATCATGTTTAGATTTAAAGTCCAGGAAGAAAGCTAAATGTTTCTTTAAAGAATATAAACATAAAGCACAAAGAATGACCTCATATCACCCTGCTAGTGAGTACATTAGAGACACCTGAGGACAGGTAGTAAAGTGTGTCCTAAAAGTGGGGTGTACATAGAGTCAGGTGTATAGACACAAAGAGAAGATGTCAACTTCTGATTGCATAACTAATACATTGAGTAAGCATCAAGAGAGAATAGAAGAGCTAAGTTAGTAACATGTGATCAATTGTGCATGTCTCAACAGTGGGAAAAGGTGAC